TTGAATTTTACTACCATATGTACATGTGAGTATTATCATTTAGTTCCAATTTAATAGTGAGTACATGTGGTGTTTGTTTTTCCATTCTTTCAGTACTTCATTTAGGAGGATGGTCTCTAGTTCCATCCAGGTTGTTACAAAAAGTATTAGTTCACCATTTTTTTATGGCTGAGTAATACTCCATGGTGTACATATACCACATTTTATTAATCCGCTCATGTGTTGATGGGCACTTTGGTTGTTTCCACATCTTTGCAGTTGTGATTGTGCTGCTATAAACATTCAAGTGCAATTGTCTTTTTTATAGAATGTCTTTTTTCCCTTTGGGTAAATACCCGGTAGTGGAATTGCTGGATCAAAATGGTAGTTCTACTTTTGGTTTTTTGTGGTATCTCCATATTACTTTCCATAGAGGTTGTACTAGTTTGCAGTCCCACCAACAGTGTATAAGTGTTCTTTTCTCTGTGCATCCATGCCAGCATCTGTTGTTTTGGAACTTTTTGATAAAAGCTGTTCTCACTGGAGTTAGATAATATCTCATTGTGGTTTTGATTTGCATTTCCCTTATGATTAGAGATGATGAGCATTTTTCATATGTTTATTGGCCATTAGTCTATCTTCTTTTGAAAAGCTTCTGTTCCTGTCTTTTGCCCACTTTTTAATGAAGTTGTTTGATGTTTTCTTGTTGATTTGTTTGAGTTCTTTGTAGATTCTGGTTATTATCCCTTTATTGGATGCATAGCATGCAAATATTTTCTCCCATTCTGTAGGTTGTCTCTTCGTTCTATCGATTGTTTCTTGGCTGTGCAGAAGCTTTTTAATTTGATCAGGTTCCATTTTGTTGTTGTTATTGCTGTGATTGCCTTTGGGCTCTTCTTCATAAATTCTTTGCCTAGGCTGATATCTATAAGAGTTTTTCCAGCTTCCTCTTCTAGAATTCTTAGAGTTTCATGCCTTAGGTTTAAGTATGTTATCCATTGTGAATTCATTTTTGTGAGTAGTGAGAGGTGAGGATCCTGTTTCAGTCTTCTACATGTGGCTATCCAATTTTCCCAGCACCATTTATTGAATAAGGAATCTTTTCCCCAGTGTATGTTTTTGTCTGCTTTGTCAAAGATCAGATGGCAATAAGAAGATGGTTTTATATCTGGGTTCTCTGTTCTGATCCATTGGTCTATGTCTCTCTTCTTGTACCAGTACCATGCTGTTTTGGTTACTGTGGCCTTGTAGAATATAGCTTGAAGTCTGGTAAAGTGATGCCTCCCAATTTGTTCTTTTTTCTTAAGGTTGCTGTGACTATTCCAGGTCTTTTCTGGTTCTATACAAAGCATAGAATTATTTTTTCTAGATCTGCAAAAAATGGGCATTGGTATTTTAATGGGGATTGCATTGAATCTGTAAATCACTCTGGGTAGTATAAACATTTTAACAATGTGATTCTACCGATGCATGAGCATGATCTGTTTTTCCATTTGTTTACATCCTCTGCTATTTCCTACTTCAGTAGTTCTCCCTGTAGAGGTCTTTCCCCTCCTTCGTTAAATATATTCCTAGGTATTTTATTTTCTTTGTTGCTATTGTGAAAGGTATTGAGTCTTTGATTTGGTTCTCAGCTTGACTGTTGTTGGTGTATAAGAATGCAACTGATTTGTGTACATTGATTTTATAACCTGAAACTTTGCTGAATTTATCAGTTCCAGAAGTCTGTTGGCAGAATCTTTGGGGTTTTCTAGATGTAAGATATCATCAGCAAAGAGCAATAGTTTGACGACTTCTTTCCACATTTGGAAATTACCCCCAATTATTTATTTCTTAATTTACCTCCGCATATACACCCATCTCTGAATTATTTAAGTGGTACTACTGCTCTTTAGATCTTTAATTAGCTAAACTCTCTGCTTAGTGTTTTTTCTTTTCTCCTCCTTTTATATGAATACCAATGTACTGGAAAGAGAACAGAATTTGGAGTTAGAAAACATGGATTTGGGTGTTGGCACTGTCTCTTATCACCTCTGTCAAAACCTCAAGGAATTTCTGAAATTCCCTTAGCTTTATTTGAGGATCAGATATGGTAATGTGTACTAAAGCACATCATAAACTGTTATACCCTAAATATGCTACTTCTTATTTCTCACCAGAGATTATCTTGTAATTTTGTTATTAATTACTGTGAGTTTTTAACAAAAGAGATCTGTCAAATTGGTTTTGAGCAGTTTTTGAAGTTATAATTTTCCCACCATTTCTGAAGAAGCAAGCAATTGAGGTATTAAATAACACAGAAACAGTGAGAATCCTGGAGGCAAGCTGAGGAAATCTACCTTCCTCATTTTACCAATGAGAATACAAAGACTTAGAGAAGTGCTAGGATTTTTATGAGATCATATTGCATGTTGCTCTCAAAGTTGGAACTTTGAATTTGGGTCCCCTGAGTTTCAGGCTAGTTTTCTTTCTGCCTGTCCTATGCTGCTTTTCTAATTATTTCTTATGATTTTTCCGACTTGAATTTTATTTCTGGCCACTGTTTGCAATTTATCATTGAGGAAATTTGACTGCTGTGACTTGTATCATTCCCTGGAGAAGTGTTGCTGTCCTCCTTTACTGACACTGTCCCACTGAGGGTTGGTCACAACCTCAGACAGCATGGACACGGGTTACATACACTGATGATGCGGGCATGCCAACTTACTTCCACATGGATTTTAAATGTTCTCTACTATACTCGTAGTTAAGTAGAAGAGGCCTCAAAATTGAAATGTAAATGTAAATGATACATTTTAACTGAGTTTTTCCAGTAAATTATTTTACCTTATATACAACGATATAAAAGATGAGGAATTTTGTTGCCTTGATTTAAACGTGAACACAAATCACAAAATGGAAATTACCTCTAAGTGTGTAGCACAGATTATGTGAGTAGTGTCTGTCACACCATTGTCTGACACCACATTGTGTTTGTCACAGCAGTGTACAGGATTATTATTTTAAAACATTAAATATCTAGTCAGAGTGAGCATATGCTCACAGTAATGGCTCAAAATTCTGAAGATGGCAAATTAATAATCTTTAGGAAATCCAGATAGAGCCAAATTAAAAGATTTGAAAGGCTGGGCACAGTGGCTCACGCCTGTGATCCTAGCACTCTGGGAAGCTAAGGCAGGAGGATCATTTGAGTTCAGGAATTTGAGACCTGCCTGAGCAAGAGTGAGACCCCATATGTACAAAAAATAGAAAAATTAGCCAGGCACAGTGGCACATGCCTGTAGTCCCAGCTACTCGAGAGGCTGAGACAAGAGGATCACTTGAGCCCAGGAGTT